CCGACGACGTGCAGTAGTTGATAGTGAAGATCGAGAACGCATCGTCTCTGTCATCATGAAGTTGGGATTAGTATATCAAATCTGAGACGTCCAGAAATAACGTCCGAGCAGTGTACCTGCATCTACCACGCGGTCTTCCCTGAGGCACAGGTCTCGGGTTGGGGCCAGAGGTCGTAGTGATTGGAGAAATGAGAATCCCGAGGGCCAGCATGCGGCCCAAAATAACACGAGATGTGTACCTGCATCGACCAGGTCTCTGGGAGAGGGTTAGGTGATGATAAGAAACAAAGGGATGGTTACCGGGTGGTGTGCATGTGAGACTAAGAATAACAGCCGAGGAGTGTACCTGCATCTGATAGAGGGGTTAGACGCGCCGGGCCGCTTATTTTCCGGCGGGCGTCGTTTCTTTGATGAAGATGAAGTGACGCGTTGCTGAGTGATGCGGGTATCTGGGATGCTTCAATTAGAACCAACAAGCTTCAATGGAGAGCACTTGTTCGGTAGAGCCGCTGGCCCTGTGTGAGGCACAGTCGCTTCAGCAGGTGAAGACCGCAATCACATAGACTAGTCTCGCAGCGGTGGAGTATACGCAAGCGGAATCATGAGCTAGTAAAGCCGGGGAAGGGACACGATGCCGGCGGCTAGGCGGGTGAGATCATGTCAACGGGAAAACGACAAGGGCGGACAGGAAGTGTTAGACGAACAGCAGCTTAGCAATGTGTAATGATCTGGAGCTTTGGATGTGTGGTGAGGTAAGCTGGGGCAGTCAGTCAATCAGACGCGGTCGTGGGTGCGTCATGCCAGGCGTGGGAGTGGGTTTGCGGCATGGCCTTCTAAAAATATCGCGTTTCGGACATGGGAGGCAGCCGCGCTAGGAACCGCGTGCTGCGAGCCCTAATCCAACTTCAACGCCTGGGGACATGGAAGCAGATACTGGAGACGATGTGTATGGACGCTATCCGATCGTCTGCAAGCGACGTGACTGCATAGAGATTAACAGGGAGTGTGAAGATACAGAGCACATGGGTGCCGCGCCGCATCCGGCGGGGGGTGCGGGGTGCCCTCGACGGCTGCCTGTATTGAATGATTGCAGTCGCAGAGAGCGGAGGACTCGCTGGCGGGCCGCAGCTCACCCAGGGACTGCCCTCACAGTCGAAGAGGCTACTGTTTGAGAGGTTTGATTGAGCCAGTGCTCCGCCATGTGTGGCTAGCAAAACACGGTCTTGGAAAGGGTGCAAATGGCGCACCGGTAAGTGTAATGCCGCACAAGGAGCACCGGCCGACCGAATGCCTCCGCCCTGCGCCTATCCCACGCTGGCCAACGTCTGCAGCCTGGGTCGACTCTCGTCATTATCTCTGCAAGCGCCGACTCGCGTGCCCGGTGGTCGTGGCACGCAAGAATAGCGACGCCCGTCTGGTCGCTGCAGAGCCGGTCAGACGGCCCTGCTAATCTGAGAGGCAGCTCACAGCGAGGTAGCGCAATGCCGGCAAAAGGCAGCTGTCTCATTCTGCTACTGTACGGCATCAAGGGTCTGTTCTGCGCGTGTGAGGCCGCTGGACCCCGGCTCTGATATGTCCCTAAAATAACTCAGCTGGGCGTCGCAGGTGGAGTAAACAGCCCAAGTGCAGTTAGCCGGCCCAGCGATGATTGACGTACAGATTGCACACCCAATTGCAAGGGCACGGCGGACGTGGCACGAAGGTCCAAACCGAGCAAATAAGCTGTAACCGGGCATATTAGCGAGCGGATGGCCTGGGCTCTGCAGACGCCAGATTTCTAAATATAGGGGCGCCCACCCACTCCATCATCGTTTCCTCTGCACATCACGTTCAGAGCCTCACGCTTCCTGTGAGTGCAGCAACCGACCTTTGTGTCGCGCATCACAGCCATATAGCCCTGGAGTCGCGAAAAAGAATCGAGCATCCACCGCGCCGATTCTCGCCGCCCACTCCCTCCTGGCCGCGCTGAAACGCTGCACGTCTTCGTGAACACGCCTCTGCCGCGCAAGCTAGTGCCATCGTGCTCTGCTCCTCGAAGCCTCGCCGTCGCTCCATGCGCCTGCCCGTCTAGCATCGCCAGCCACCATGGGTCGCAGAAAGATTGAGATCAAGGCCATCAAGGACGACCGGAACCGCTCCGTGTAAGTCAGCTGCCAGCACCGCGCCCTCACCTGCATCTGCAGCCACTAACCCGCGGCAGCACCTTCCTCAAGCGCAAAGGCGGCCTCTTCAAGAAGGCGCACGAGCTCTCGGTGCTCTGCTCCGTCGACGTGGCCGTCATCATCTTCGGCCACAACAAGAAGCTCTACGAATTCTCTTCCGGCGACATCAACGAGACGATTGGCCGGTACCAATATGTAGGCATCCCCGACGACCCTGGATCGAGAGCCGCGCTAAAGCAGAATGACACTGACAGGTCACGCAGTATGGCGGAGCCCACGAGCACAAGGGTCCAGAGGACTTTATGGGCAAGAAGGACGGCGACGACGAGGATGATGAGGACGACGAGGGCGCCCTGCCCCGGGACTCGCACACCCCGCCCGAGCACTCGATGATGCCCCATCACATGCAGCACTCGCAGTTCCAGCACATAAGACACGGCGCGCCGTCCATGTCGCCGCCAATCGGCAACGGCGCCTTCCAGCAGCGAGGGCCCTCCCCACAGCCGCCGCATCACCTGTCGCGACCGAACTCGCGAGTAGGCCACATCCGCAGACCGAGCTCCAACCTCGCGCCGCCGCAGCCCTACCCTTCGCAAGCCCCTCAGCCGCCCAACAACTATGCCTACATGCCGACCCCGCCCTTCTACAACCCGCAAGCTGCCCAGCAGATGGCGCCCAAGCCCCAGCCTACACCGCCCGCCGCCCAGTACCAGTTCACGCACCCCATGCCCACACATTCTCAAGTCCAGTACATGCAGCAAGAGCAGCAGCGCCGACAGTCTATGCCACCCACCTTCCAGCAGCAGCAACAGGCACAGCACCAACATCAGCAGCAGCAGCAACACCAGCATCAACAAGAGCAGCAGGCCCAGGTACAGGCGCAACAACAGGCTCAGGTGCAAGCTCAGCAACAAGCACAGCAACAGGCTCAGCAACAAGCCCAACAGCAGCAACAACAGCAACAGGCTCAGCAGCATCGATTGTCTCCACCACCTCCACCCCCGCAAGTGTCTCAGCCGCAACAAGAGCACCCGCAACAGCCCACAATCACCGTTCCGTCGCCGCCGCAACAGAACGATTTCCAGAGCCCCCCTCTTCCTCAGCCCAAGCCACTACACGCGTCTGCCAGACACAGCATCTTCACACCCATCGACGATAGCCAGTCCATGCTCGCAGCACACTGGGGCAGCAGCAACAACTCAAACCTGTCTCGCAGCGAGGCTCCCTACATCAAACAGGAGAACCGAGCGCAATCGATTGACGTGGCCGCCATGTCGCGATTGCAGCCAAACGGGGACCCGAAGCCTCAAGCGCAGCCTCCACAAGCGCCTGTTCAGCAGCCGCCGCAGCGAACACAGTCTACGTCTTCCATGCCCACCATTCCTCCTCCGTCGCGAACAAACAGCCTACGCATGGGTGGTGAAAGCAAGCCGAGATTGAGGGTACAGATTCCAAGCGAACAGTCAGACGCTGGAAGTGCGACGGCCGACTCGTCTCCCAAAGACTCTGGGACGACGGGTGCAACTCCTGGACGAAGCACCGACGCATCGCACTCTTCCGGCGTAGTTCTGCCTCCTCCGTCACCAAGTGCCAACTCGCTGCTCAGTGCCGGTGCAACTGGCCCGCCCAACCCTTTCGCTCGTCCTCCGCCGCCATCGAACAGCAACTCGTACGGTAGTCGCGACAACATGGAAACCCCCATCTCAGCACTTCCCAGTCGCTTTGTTGAGAATGGCCTGCTTCCCTCGCCTTCGAGCTTTTACCCCGAGTGGGGTTTTGGCCGCGACTCCAACATGCTGCCGAGCCCCTTGACTTTCCAGACTCCGGTAGCCCCGAACGGACCCAGCTTCGCCCGCGACGACTCTGCCGAGCGCAAGCGCAAGACGTCTGATCAGGGCTCAGATGACGGCAACCAGAAGCGAGTCAAGACTTGAGCAGCGTAGCGGAGCTCGAAAAGTTGTTTTGAAGCGATCTTCTTTCTCGTGTGGCCTCGGCCATGCTGTATTTGTACCCCTTATTTTTATCCTCCTGTTACGGTCTTTACTTCCTGGAGGCCAGCCAGCGATGCTCGATGCATACTATATACCGTTGTTTTTGTTTGAAGGAATTGTAGAACTTGGGTGCAGGGGCGTTGGATACCCAGGATGATTGTCGTTGTTATCATCTAGTATTTTGTCTCGTTTCACAATTTGACGGTTGCACTTGGACACCCTCGGGCGCCCGGTTATGGCATGACGAAAGATCAGAGTTGCGATTTGTACTTCTTTGTAAAAAATAATATCAATGAACAACTTGGAGGAGTCCACCTAGACATACAAGGATACCCCATTACGCAAGCTCTACGTGACTCGGCACTGGAGGGAACGAATGACCTGCAAACCCCACAGCAACTGGCCGAACTTTCGGAAATCGGAACATTGGGTAAGAATACCACGATCAAATTTTGCGCTATGCCTACACGGACTTGCCCGTATTCGCATCGCGGTAGACATTCCCTTGTTGTTGACCGGCACGAGGGCTAGTGCGTCATAGGGCCAAGCCTACTGCCCCGCTGCGCATATGCCTACCCAAGGGGTCGCCGTTGGTGTCAGCCGCAACCGGGCTGTGAAGGGCAACGTTGGGCTTTGATCGCTGGAGCCGCATCTTACTCGGCTGATCGCAAAGCCTTTGTACGATAACCTACTAGCATCTCCCTGTGTTTGGGAGTCACTTGTCTGCGTGACGATTGCTGCCCGCGCCGAGAAGCTGAAGCTTGGTGTCACCTTCATATATCATCAGCCCTCGACCTTGCGACATCTTGCTTTCCACCTTGCAAACACACGACGACTCGCTCCCACCATGGCGTACAACAAAGGCTTCAACCCGGACAGGCTGCCTATGCACGCCGAGCCTGAGCAGGTACGTCTTTGGAGTCCCTCGACGCGCCTGCAGGACTGACGTAGACCAGGCTGCTGCGATGATGTCGCAAAACGCATCCGCGGCCTCACGCCCACCGCGCACCAGCTCCGCGCGTCCCGACTACAACAAACCTCCCCCACCCGTTCCCAGCGGTCAGAGATACGACACTCGTCCCGATGAGCGCTACGGTGGTGGACGCGGCGCAGGAGGTGGTGGATATGACAGCAGACCCCCACCAGGCGCATACAGCGACCCGCGGTACGACGGCCGATACGACGCGAGGCCAGACAACAGAATGGGAGTTGGATCGCCTCCACCAGTCAACTATGGTCATGGACCTCCGCCACAAGGATACCATGGAAGGCCGCAGTTGGCGCAGCAGTCGAGGCCGCCGCCTACTCCTGCGCCGCCGCCAAGAGATGCGAATGACCGCGAAGCGCTGTGGAGGCTGTTCGGCGCGGTCGACAAAGACAGTATGTCGTAGCAAGACTTCGCATGTACAGAATGCTAACGCATGCGACAGAGAGTGGTGAGCTCACAGAGGCTGAGCTGCGAACAGCGCTCGTCAATGGAGACTGGACACCTTTCGATCCTCATACTGTCCGTATGATGATCCGAATGTTCGACACCAACAGATCTGGTTCTGTCAACTTTGATGAATTCTGGTACTTGACCTCGTCCCTCTCGTGACCGGTTCAAGCTAACACATTGTTTGTAGTGGGCTCTGGGGCTTCCTCTCAGCTTGGCGCAGCCTGTTCGACCGTTTCGACCAAGACCATTCCGGCAGTATATCCTACGCTGAATTCAACGAAGCCCTCATCGCCTTCGGATACCGTCTCTCCCAAGCGTTCGTCACACTCTTGTACCGCACGTACGACCGCGACGGACGCAACGCGCTGAGCTTCGATCTGTTCGTGCAAGCGTGTATTAGCCTGAAGAGGATGACGGACGTCTTCAAGAAGTATGACGAGGATCGCGACGGCTATATCACGCTGAGCTTGTAAGTGACATCCGAAGGAGTGTGAAAGAAAGCTTTTCGAACAAGTGCTAACTGTATTCGTAGCGAGGAGTTTCTCACAGGTGCGCAAGCTTTATTCCTCTTCAACTCGATTTCGGCCTCCACTGATACCGGACTCTACTAGAAATCATCCGCCAGCGATGAGCAGCAGGAACACATGTACACCATTTACGCAACATTTGGATGCGTTGCCACTCTGGGCATTCTCCGGCATTTGGTCACCTACGCAAAAGCGAGCAGGATGTCGTCATGGCCCATCCCCAAGTGCCATGTTACGTCGGAGTATGACGGAACATCTGGACTGGTATCCAAACGAGCGAGGAACATGCGTAGTTATGGTCGGAGACCAGGCATACTTGATGAAGGTAATGAATCTAGATACCCGTTTGATACAGACGAAAACATTGATACTACATCTGCTTCTCTCCGTTGACGTGCTCGCTATCTTCAGACAGGCCTGGAGATAACATCAACTTAAAAACATGCAAAGTGTTCAGCCTAACGCCAATGTAGGCTCCAGGCTGTCCTGGTTTTTAGACAGACTACCAGCACCTAAACCTCTCTCTCCACCCCCACCTCTCCCTTCCGTCACCGCCGCGGCGACGGTAGTAATAGTCGTCGTCGTCATCGCCTCCAGCATCGTACCTCATCACTCTCAATCCTGACCCAGCGTGCGTGTATGAGTGTTCCCGCACGCGACGCCCTCCCTCGCGGCCTTCTTGGTAGCCGTTGTAGTCGAATGCGGGGCCGTAGTGAAGATGTCTTGAAATGTAGTCAGTGCTAGTAGGAAAGACAACTATATACAAGACGGCGTGAAGTGTCGTGAGAGAGTAGATAAACCTACGGAGCCTGGTCATATCCAAAGCCTCGGGGTCGAGATTGGTACCGTGGCATGATGGGATCTTGTTGGGGGATATGTTACTTGCTGCAAGGTAAGAAGAATGGTTGGGTGAGCTGGAAGTTGACGGAAGACGGTCTGTAAATGAGTAGGTGGATTTGCGAAGAAGGCGATGATAAAGTATAGGGAGGCTTATGCTGGATTTTCTGGTTATATAGTACAAAAGAGAAGGACATGAATGTCGGAATGACGATGCATACTTGAGTTGGCATACATCGGTGTCGAGTACACGTTGTAGTAATTCGTGTTGCGTATCGCGCACGCGTACATGGTAAACAGTAATGACGATTTTTTACAGACGATGGTGGCCAACAGTGTATGAAGGCGCACTTCAATGAAATGTCCCGTTGCGTGGCTGATCGATGGCGCGTGCTGATCTTTTGGCCTTCGCCTTGCGGTATGAGAGAAGTGCATGCATGTTAACGTAGGGGAAAACTGAACACCCTGGAGCCTGCGTCTACGTCAGGCCACCTACTTTGCGTGTATTCATATCAATGTAGTCTGCAGACCTGTTCAGCTTTTTCCTTGTATAAGGTGCACGTGTGCAAGAGAACAACGGTCCTGGTTGAGTATATCCATTCATAATAAACTAAGGTATACAATCTTCATCGCTAAATCTGTCCGACAATACATTCTGGTATCTGGGGGTATATGACAAAAAACGTTAAGGAAAGACGTGAACTCGTTCGTGAGGTCGTGTACAAAGACAAAAGCCGCAATACTCCAAAGATTGCTCCGCATCAACATGGTCAACCTGTTAGTCTAGGACTATATGATCCGCTCTCTTCTCATCCTTAGACCTTGTAGGGCTTGCGAGCACGGCGAGAACCATGGTCCTTGCCGCCGATGCAGAAGCTGGCGATCCAGCCAAGCAGTGCGATGAGCATAAGTGCAGTGGCAGCCCATGTCAAAGCAAGGAACTTGCCGCCCCAGTTCGCGTTCAGGCCAATGTCGCTACCTTTCTTATTGATAATATCAACCGCCTTCACTGCAACTGCTGTGACGAGGGCGCTTGCGAGACCGATAGCCAGGAAGGCGAGTGTGGCGAGAAGGAAGTTGATGCAGGGAGTAAGTCGGCCGTTTCCGATGAAGATCCCGAGGACGCTGGTGAGGAGCGTAATGAAGATGAGGCAGATTGCAATGACGTAGAGCACAAACATGGCTGCCATGAGCGCGTTGAGGGCATCGATTCCGTTCTGAATGTCATCTGGCCAGTTCAAGTCCTCCAGGGTGATATCTACGCCCGTCTTGTTGATCGCCTCTTGGATGATGGCCGTGGGGTCAAACTTGTAGGTAGCCCTGCTCTTTGCGCATTCGGTGACGTTCTTGGTAATGTCATCCTGACTCAGCGTGGCGTTGGCCACCTCTCCAGGCTCATACTGTCCTTGGCAGTAGTTGAGCATGTGTGCCGAGTACCAGTCCTCGATGCCAACGCGCTCGCGGAATTCGTCGATCTGCTCATTGATTTCGTTGGTGACGCTGTCGGTAATGGAATCGGGAATGAGGTTTATGATGGATGAAAGTGTGGAGTCAGAGTCTTCTGATGGAGCTTGGATGAGCGTTTGCCCAACGGCGGACGTGTTGAGCGTGAGGAGAGAGTAGTCTTCCATGAAGCCTTTCTTATGCCCGGCAAATAGGCAGAGAAACGAGAGGATGAGGGCCGCGGTACAACATAGCACCGGTAGTACTGCGATGAAGCGCATCGTGATGGTGTTGGCTTTACGGTTGTAGTATAGGTGTGGTGCAGGTGTAAAGGCGCAAGTAATCGCGATCCCTCTATGTGCGACCCGTGAATGGCGATGTGTTCAAACAGCGCTGCAAGGCTGAAACGCAGACAAAAGACAAAAGCGATAGATGTTGAGTATGCGTCAAAGGCGATAAAGGAAGAGTCAACCACTTATACGTGACGCGCGAATACAAGCTTACGATGCGACGACGACCGTGCAAAAGACCCGCACGTCACTGCTAGGGCCCGGCCATGGCAACAAGCGAATAGCAAACCCAACCAACGGGGCCTCAGCCTCAAGATCAACGGCATTGAATACGAATCAGGGCCTTTTCAACACACTGACCATGATGTTGACGTGTTGCTGGGCGTGTGGTGTACAGACCCTGGAATTATGACGTAGCGCAGCGCTAAGCGAAGCAAATACGCAGGGGTAAAGCAGGAACGTCAGGAACTTGACGTGCCTAGATTTTTGGTTGGGTGATGATGGCAGAGTTGAAAAAAGAAAGAGTGCCGAAACTCTCGTCAATCTCTGCATCGGTGTAGGCAGGAGCGCGGCGCTTGCAGATGTGCCAGCCACGCGGGACCACTGTGGGGTGCACAGCCGCAACGTGCGTGTGCAGGTACGAATCGATGCAGACTACGGTGACACAAATAGAAGCTGGATTCAACAAGATCACCTATGAGTGCACCCCATGCAAGAGAAAACCGGGACAGGTCTAGAGCCTACATTAACGTTGGGTCACCTACTTTGCATGTTTCCATCTTGATGTCGGCTCCGTGGTATTCAGACTTCTCCATGAGTGAGGTGCGCACCATGTAGGTCAAGGACTGGCTTGTCTAGTCTGTTTGTATTCGGGTCTATCGCTATGGTCTCGTCGTCTATTCGTGAGGCATCGTCTATCATGATGACCATAAGTGCATTACTTTCGTAGAGCAGCCTGTGCTCTCGGACCTTTGGAGTGGAATAGTTATAAGCGGTTGTGGTAGTGATGAAGTGTTGCGCATTGCGCTTTGGTGTTGGGTCGCAGCCGGTTGGCACGGTGCTATCCGGCCTCACGACGGCGTCTTCTTGGAGTTCTTGGTGGGTTGGGGGGTTGACGACGAGCCAGCGCTGACGCCGTCAGTGAAAGGAGAGTATGGCGCTGTCACTGAGTGCGGGGGTGCTCGTTGGCCAGACTTTGTGCGCGGAGGCTCAGCGGAGCCCGGCCACTTCTTCTGCTCCTCGTGCATCTTGTCTAGCGGCTCTCCGACTATGTGATACTTGTCCCAGTTGACGGGTGGACATCGCACGATGTTCTGCGGCTGCGGTATTGCGGGGAACTTGGGTGGGTCTGGCTTCGCCTCCATGTGCGTGGAATCTTTGCGCGTGTCTGCGCTGTTCGCGTCTTGCTCGCTACTGCTTGCTGCGTCGGACAGACCGGCCAGTGTTGGCGTGAGGATGTCCTGGTGCGACTGGGAGGCCTGCGCGCGTTGTTCTTGCAGCGAGCGCACGAACGCCTGCGGGTCGGATACAGCGGCTGCCTTGAGGTCCTGGAGGGCCCTCAGGTCGCGCTTGCTCTTTTCGCGCTGCAGCTGCAGGAGCGAGATGGCGGAGCGCAGGGCGATGGCATCTGGGTTCTCGCTCTCGGATATGGCGACGGACGGCGGTTGCGGTCTGAAGGTGGCCGTGGGCGGAGGGGCAGGGCGGGGTCGGGCTTCGGTGCGCTCCACAGGAGCTAACTGGGCAGCGGAGGCCGTGGGCGTGAGAGGTGACACAGGCGGGCGGTCGGGCGTGGGCGACTTGGAGCGGGCGCCAGAGTGCTCCGAGGCGGTCGAGGCATCGCTGGAG